ATCCTTGGATCATGGCGCTCAAGCCAAGCCATACCTAGGATGAGATCATATCTCGAGTCTAAATCTAGGACAAGACAGCGCTCAATACTGTCAAAGTCTAAAAACTTTAAACCTAAGTTCAATGAAACTTTAGGCACAGTAACACGACTTCCAGTCGCTAAACGAACCGTGAAAGAATCACCCTCATGCGCTGTAAGCGCCTCAGCATACTGTTGAATTCCATGAAGCGAACGACGTCGAGAATAATTGCAAGACGCTCCAAAGTCGAAAAATATCGACCACGGCCTCTCAAAGCCCTTTTTTTTCGTCTCGGCGACTAACAAGCCAGGCTCCATACCAATAGGTACAGAGCTCTTTGGGGCTAAGCTCTGTTTATCTTTACCTTCTAAATGTGTGACAGATTCCGAATCTTCACCGGTAAGTTGACCCGCGCCTACTGGGCCTCGGCATTTCTTTGTGCCATGCCAGACTTATGGATCGGGGTTGAACGTTGTCTTGTAGCCTGACGCAGTTCACGCAAAGGGTTACCATGCTGCAATTGTTTAGTGCTGTCGCACGTTAAACATCGTTGTACGACGCGTTGCTGCTCAGCAGATTGAAGTTCAACTTCGCCTTCATCTTCAGCACAGATGAGATCCATCGGTTCCGGTCTGTTTAAGGCCGGACCACTTGTGGAGTATCTCTCGCAGAGCTAGGGTTGCACCCATTCTAGCCAAGCCTGGCCGACTTGACGTAATGCTCAGCACTAAGAGCAATTCCCACGGCTTTTTCGAACGTAGAGGGGTGAACCCGAAAAACTTCGGTTCTGGCAATTCCAGTACGCAGACCTTCCACGAAGATAGTCACATGAACTGTCTCGAGCAGAGAGTAAAACTGCATTGCAGCCATGAGCGTTCGCAGCTCTTGGACATAGTCCGATAATTCATTCTTACCCTGGCGGGGAGCCAAAAAGCGTGACCGCACGCGGTAAGCCTGGTTAGGTGGAGAAAACACCTGTACCAATTGTGACTTGAGCGACTCCCATGAGCGAAACGCTATGTCCACCGACGTGCTACACGTCGAGGCCCATTCTCTAGCTCTTCCATCGAGCTTCGAGATAGCCAGCGAGACCTGTTGATGGTCAATCGTGATCAGGCCTGATGTCATGGCCATCTCAATCTTACGGATCCAGAGGATGAGGTTCACACCCTCCTTACCGGAGTAGTTCTTAAGTTCCACTCTAAGTGGAAGAGATCTAACCTCTTCGTCTGGTACAGCAGACACATAGCGTGTAGGCATAGCCGACGCTATTTGGTCTTGGACCTGCCCTAAAAGGGTCGCTTCATACTGCATGAAGCTTTCAACACGTGCATTAAGCACCTCAGGTCATTGTGAGACAAACAACTCCACGCACTCTGGACCCAAAGATGCGGTCAACTTATTAAGCGCGACCTTTTAAGCCTCAGAGGGAGTAGAGTTTTCCATCCTCACAGAGGATCAGTCTAATAGACTCAGGCGTAGATTGGCTACTAGTGCTACCAAGTGTGGCGGAGCTACACAGCTTCTTAAGTCAGAGGAAGACTTAACGCTCAAAGAGCAAGTTAGTGCTAAAGAACTGAACCCAATGATTAAACAAGCGTAACGCTTATGGTCCATGTTCCAGAAAACCAAACGATTCAGTGAATCGACAGCACTCAGTGCTCAAGAGTAGCTACCTCAAGGAGGTGTTACTAACTCTTAGTGATCAGTGATCAACGATCAAGATAACTCGCACGCCACGTGTCCTTTAGATCAAAATGTAAACTGCTTTTATTTGATGTTGAAACTTATAGAATATCTTAATCCTACTCAAAGATCTTTCGTTCCTAATGGATTACACTCGTCAGCCCCAACAAACCGATAAGATATTCGATATCACCTTCACAAAGGGGTACCATCAGGTGTGTGACACACCTGGTACAAAGTACCCTTCTACGTGCAACCCCTTTTTTAGCAACCATCTACAGCTTATACATGTTGATTGTACCCTATTGACCGAGATGAACCATCCATTCGAGTTCAATGATGTACGACGAAGCCAGCACATAGATCGATCCTGCATTCAGCTTTCACGTAATGAGGAGTTTTGATGCAGCTTTGTACCGGTTTCGCTTGTTGATTTGTCCTGTGCTTTCTTTTCAGGTTACAGTGGGGAACATGATATCGTTACCACATGGATAACACATGACGATCAGAACCGGTGTAAGTCCACGATATTCCGCTGTTGCAGCAACTTCTTCAATCTCGAAGCGCATCAAAGGCATTTCAGGTCCTACAATTCAACACTCCACAACCTCCTATCCTGCAGCTTAACTGGATGAGACACCAGAAGCAAAAAAAGCTTCTCATGAACGGGTACCCAAAAGTCGGACGTCTCATTCATTTACACTCGTAAACGCGTATATCGATACTCGTGTGTGTCCTTATCGGCTGAGGATACCGTCCGATGCAGACAAGTGTATCGACTCGCAGCTTGCCTGCAGATAGACGGCGCTTGAGCGCATCAATGCAAATGGTAACACCAACGAATGCTTCTTCTTCTTCACAAGAACAAACCTCCATTCAATTGTTCAATCATGGTAGTGGACACTACAAGTTGTACTTCTTTTCTGTCTCTACCTCCGCGCATTTCTCCGTCGATGTCATCTCCGTTGACTTTTCATGGAAAGTAGTGTCCGCCAGCGGCGCTGGTGTCATCGACGGTGTCACGTCTCGATCAACTTCTGACTCGGCCTGCAGCTGGCCTTTCACTGACGTCTTCTGTGCCGCACCGAATGGCGTCTGCTGCCACAGTGCTTCAAACTCCTCCGGACTACCGCTCGAGCAGATGGACTCGTGCTGTCCATTCTCTCCCTTGCCTTGTCGTCGCCAAGTTGTGCGCATCTTCTTTCCGTTGATCTCTCGTTCATGCACCGCTTTGAGATGACCCGTGGAGTCTTCGTAACGGCGACGCGTTGTTGCCACTCGTCGACCCTTCTCGTCCACAACAGACGAGTTGCTGAACGAGTAAGACGAGAACGAGTGGCTCATCGGGTCGTCATCCTTCAATGTCTTGGTGCTGGATACTTGTTGATCCTGTTGCGGTGCGTTTTGCACCGGTTGGAACGCCGTCGGCTTGTACTTGTGTGCCACCACAGGCAGGTCGACGAAGAAGTCGTCATCGTCCGTCGACTTCCCGGAGTACATGACGTGCTTTGGAGTTGGAGTGGCGAGCATCTCTCGACGCGCCCCAAACGGGAAGCGCGGTCGCATCATGCTGTCACTCATGTGCTCGAGCTCCATCATAGACTGTTCGAGTGACGACATGGGGTACCAGAAGCGCGGTCGCACGAGATCCCACGAGCTGAACATGGTTGCGTGACTTTGTCGTGTGTGGGTTGTTGCTACTGGTCGATCGTGCGGTTGGATGCAAATTGGGAAATGAAGGGGGACGTGGGTCGCCGCTCTCTTGGCGTGCAGACAGAGGCAGACCGATCATGATGATGTTGAAGTGCTTCGATCGAATGTTGTCGAAAGTAGCGTTTGAACCGTCCGATTCAAAATGTCATACACCTGAGGTGGCTGTTTTCTAGAACCGACTCCCGTCTTTTCACCTTCTTTTTCGCGGATGTTTTTCCACTGACGACTAGAAAGTCGAGACGAAACCGATGGTCCTTCCAGTCCTCCGATGCTATACGCGCATGACACCACCCTTCCGGCGGGTACTGTCGTCCACGTGAATTTCGATCTTCTTGCGGACCCCGCATCTTCAGAAGAATGCACAACGGTGCTCAGGTCGAGGATCAGATGTTGTGTGGAAGTCGCGAGTTTCCGTAGCTTTTCAGCCGCCGTCGATATCCCATTTGCCATTGTGACCATACCAGCAGTAGTCGAGAAACAACGACTTCGTTCATTCTTTGAATACCAATCCCTCATTAGTACTGAAGGCAGTGTTTCTACATGTATTCGTGTACTGTCGACATGTGTCATCTACTCTGGTCGCAATGTGCGTTTTTCCTGTGCCTCTTGATGCGACTTTTGCAGTCGCTTTCCTTGTGTACGACGACAGCATTGTGATAAGAATCAAAACGCGGTCGATCAACAAATTGCAGAGTAGGTGGTCACATTAAAAAACAAGTCATACCTCTCGCGCTGTCCGTCTTGTCCGTGGAGACTCGTACCCAATCTGCTCTTTGTGAGTACAACTTCCAGCACGGATGCTCTCATTGAAACCGTGATACACATCCACTCAATCAACACTTACTCCAAAACTGCATGGTGGCATGAACTTGAAGTCGGTTCCATGTGATCGTTGTTCGGTGGACGGGTACGTTGCTATGTCAACTACCGTTTCACTGTCGAAGCTGTGTACATTACCCTTGTCAATACGTTTTGGGTTCCACTTTTGCTCTTAATGCTTCGAATGCCAAGCATTGCCGGTTTCATTCGTGCAGTCGTTGTTGAGGCCATTGTCGATACGTGGTACTTGCGGTGGTTCATGGATCAAATTTTGCCGTGCCGTTGGAACCTGTGCGCTGGCAATCAAATATGTACTGGCGTGCACTGTGATGATAGCGTACACTACGAGTGAACGGCAGCACACCTGTGGACATCCATTCGTCTCAACTTTCTTCTAGATGAGTGAAATGCGATCTAAGGGTAGCTAATAAGGGACCTTCAATATATTCACTTCGGTTTTTACCTTTTTTGCAACAGGTTAACTCCCGCAACCAAAGCATCCTTCCAAACCAAGTCCTCGCCTACTATGGCGAACAAGCAAACCGAAGTATCCTGGGAAGTGGATATTATTACCACTAGGAGTTTGACGTGAGGATGACCCTGGCAAGGAAGGGTCTCTTAGGGCATGTCATGGTATTTAAGGCTGAGAGTGAAGTAACAGAAGCAGAGCTAATAAACGACGCCAAGGCGCTAGGCATCATCCCTCAAGGGGTTGAGGTCCAGCACCAAACCAAGATTTGATCGGCTACGCGCGCCATATAGGCATGGGTAATGCTCCGCGATTTCTACAACCGCTTGACGCTTCACAATCGTGTGACGATGACGCGTCATCTTCACGACTTCAAACTGGAGAGTGGGACAAGTATGGCGGAACATCTAGATTCTTTCGACGAACTGGTAGTGGGACTCCAGACTACGGAAGTCCGATGGATGAGTCGCGCCAGCTGGTAATACTTCTCAGCAGTCTGCCTTCTGAATACGAACTGAGTTCGTCGATTGTTGAAAATGCGAAGGACATTACGCTGACTGAAGTCAAGGAGAAGCTGCTCAAGGAGTCAGGAAAGATGCAAAGAAAGGAGACTACGGAGAAAGCATTCCGCGTGAATGGGAATCCTGGATAATTTAAAGGTGGACGGAGCAACGGTAGGAAAGGTGGCGCTCCACGCAATCACGGCGGATTTGAGGGCAAGTGTTTTAACTGTGACAAGTTTGGTCACATGAAGCGGAACTGCTTGGCCGGGAAACAAATCGGCGGCGATGATGCGGTATCTGCAGTATGCGAAGGAAGATCATTCAGATGACTGATCGACAGTGGTGCAATATCCCACATGACCCCACACAGAAAGGACTTGTTCGAATACAAGAACCTATAGACAAACGTCGAAGTAACAATTGCAGGCGGCAAGAAGTTGATCGTCAAAGGAGCCGGTACGGTAAGGCTGACCGGTTTGGATGGAAAAGTTATTCGCATGGTGGAAGTCATGTACATCCCAGGACTCGATAGAAGATTGCTAACAGTCGGCAAGCTTGCAGAACGTGGCATGAATCTGGAGTTCTCACGTTCGTCTTATGTCATCTGGAACAAGGATCAAGCTATCGCCTCGGGGACCAGAATCGGAAAAGCAAAATCTAGACTGTGAGCAAGGAGAAGCTTGTCTCGTGGAATATTCCGATGGTGACACTCAGTGGGAGCTTTGGCATGCCCGTATGGGACACCCACGCAAGGACGCGTTACTCCAGACTCAGCGCTCAACCAAAGGCATTCCGAAAATCAAGCTAGGCACGAAAACACTGTGCGTTGGTTGTTTGAAGGGAAAGCAGACCGTCGCGACGTTTTCTTCACATTCAATGACGAAGACGACACGTGTACTAGAGCGCGTGCACGCAGACGTCATGGGGCCTATGAAAAATCCCTTTAAGGGTGGTGCCAAATACATTCTCACGTCTGTAAAAGATTGTTCACGATACATTGCGGTATTCATAATCAACAGTAAGAATGGAGTGACTGGCATGTTCAGGGAATCCAAGACATTTTTCGAAAACACATGGGGAGCTCGTTTGAGTTGTTTGCGCTCCGACAACGGATCAGAGTTTGTCAACAAGACTATGGCTGGCATATGTCAACAGAACGGCATAGTGCATCATCGTTCCGTTCCTTACAGCCCTCAGCAGAACGGAGTGGCAGAGCGGATGAACAGGACAATCATGGAGAAGGCTCGGAGCATGCTAATTTACAAAGGCGTTTCAACTGATTGGTGGGCGAAAGCGGTGATTGGAGTGGTTTTTTAATAACCGCTCCACGAATACGGCTCACCTCGGCATGACACCGTATGAGTTGGCTTTTAAGATAAAGCCCCAAATGGACCACTTGCACGTGTTCGGGTCGCAAGGTTTTGCTCATATAAATCATCCAAAGAGAACAAAGTTGGAGCCAAAGATTTTAAATTGTTTGTTCTTCGGGAACGAAGAAATCTCAAAGTTTATCGTGTGTTTGACTCGGAAATGCCAATGTCAAAGTTACGCGTTCAATGAAGTTGGATGATCGTGAAGTGGGCGGCATTTACGACACTCAAGTGCTAAATCCGGAAGCGGTCGTTCACGTGACGAAGGACAGTGATGAAATACAGATTCAGCAGCAAAAAGATGGGCAGCCAGATCTGGACGAACCCATGGAAGATGTTGAAGATCCGGTCGCAGACGTGGAGATGGACGATGTGGATTCTACGTCAAGCGTCAGTGCACAACAGCTGATGCCTCCCGACCGCCATGTTGAAGACACGATGCAACTAGCAAAGGTATCATCCACCGCATCAAATGCAGCAAGAAGATCGTTTAGTGTTCCGACCTGAAGTGGAGAGAGCAAGAGAAAGACATTAGCCGATGATGTTGCTCAGAAATGGCTCAAATAATGCAGAAGAATCAGCAGAATAAAGTGACGGAACACCGACTACGAAGCTTGCTAGGATTGATTAAAACGGACTCATTACAGAAGCTGCATTAGCATACGCGGTAAGTGTGTACAACCCATGCGCTGTAGGAATGAAATCGTTGTCAGCACAGTCACCTAAGACGGAAGAAGGACGTTCGGCGATGCGATCGAAGCCTTATCTCTCCTTGAAAGGATGCCTACTATGCATTACAACATGTACTAGGCCGGATTTTGCGTATGTGGTGACACAACTATCACGTTTCCGGAGAAACCTGGATCGCAACGTTGGAGTGCAGCTATTTACGTTTTAAGATATCTAAAGACGACATACCAAAAAGTCATTGTATACAAAGGCACTGAAAGTGTTGGGGTAAAGGCGTGATCGGATGCTGATTGAGTAAGCAACAGCGATGGGAGACGTTCGGTCTCAGGAGTAATTGTAACCGGGTAGCAAGAAATTATGGTACTTTGTACCAGAGGTGTTACACACCTGAAGTTACCCCTTTGTGAAGGTGATAGAGAATATCCTTTTGGTTTGTAGGGGATGACGAATGTCAGCCATTAGGTACGAAAGATCTTTGAGTAGGATTGAGATATTCTATAAGTTTCAACATCAAATAAAAGCAGTTTACATTTTGATCTAAAGGACACGTGGCGTGCGAGTTATCTTGATCGTTGATCACTGATCACTAAGAGTAAGCAACACCTCCTTGAGGTAGCTACTCTTGAGCACTGAATGCTGTCGATTCACTGGATCGTTAGGTTACCTGGAACAGGGATCTGAAGCTGTAAAGCTTGTTGACTCGTAAAATCGTTAGTTCTTTAGAACTAAGTTGCTCGTAGAGCGTTAAGTCTTCCTCTGACTTATGGAGCTGTGTAGCTCCGCTACACTTGGTAGCACTCGTAGTCAATCTACGCCTATGTCTTTTAGACTGATCCTCTGTGAGGATGGAAAACTCTACTCCCTCTGAGGCTTAAAAGGTCGCGCTTAATAAGTTGACCGCATCTTTGGGTCCAGAGTGCGTGGAGTTGTTTGTCTCACAATGACCTGAGGTGCTTAATGCACGTGTTGAAAGCTTCATGCAGTATGAAGCGACCCTTTTAGAGCAGGTCCAAGACCAAATAGCGTCGACTATGCCTACACGCTACGTGTCTGTACCAGACGAAGAGGCTAGGCCTCGTCCACTCAGAGTGGAAGTGAAAAACTACTCCGGTAAGGAGGGTGAGAACCTCATCCTCTGGATCCGTAAGATTGAGATGGCCATGACATCAGGCCTGATCACGATTGACCATCAACAGGTCTCGCTGGCTATCTCGAAGCTCGATGGAAGAGCTAGAGAATGGGCCTCGACGTGTAGCACGTCGGTGGACATAGCGTTTCGCTCATGGGAGTCGCTCAAGTCACAATTGGTACAGGTGTTTTCTCCACCTAACCAGGCTTACCGCATGCGGTCACGCTTTTTGGCTCCCCGCCAGGGTAAGAATGAATTATCGGACTATGTCCAAGAGATGCGAACGCTCATGGCTGCAATGCAGTCTGACGCTTTGCCTGAAGCAGTCCATGTGACTATCTTCACGGAAGGGCTAAGTTCTGGCATTGTCAGAACCGAGGTTTTTCGGGTTCACCCCTCTACGCTTGAAGAGGCTGTGAGAATTGCTCTTAATGCTGAGCATAACCTCAAGTCGGCTAGGCTTGGCTAGAATGGTTACAACCCTAGCCCTGCGAGAGCAAACTCCACAAGTGGTCCGGCCCTTAACAGACCGGAACCCATAGATGTCGTCTATGCTGAAGATGAAGGTGAAGTCGAACTTCAAGCTGCTGAGCAGTAACGCGTTGTACGACGATGTTTTACGTGCGGAAACACTAACCACTTGCGGCCTGGTTTCTCTTTGCGTAAACAGCGTCAGACTAAAGGCCAATACCTTATCCCGAGTCAGAAGTCTGGCATGGCACGGAGAAATGCCGACACCCAGTAGGCGCGGGGCGCCCTACTGGGGAAGAACTATGTTCTGTTACACCTTTAGAAGGTAAAGGAATGCAGGGCTTAGCCCCAAAGAGTACCATACCTAAAGTTATGGTGCGTGTACACAAGTCTGGCTTGTTGGTCGCCGAGGCGAAAATTAAGGGCTTCGAGAAGCCTTGGTCGATATTGATCGATTCTGGAGCGTCTTGCAATTATACTCGATGCCGTTCCCTTGAGGGAAGTCAGCGTTATGCTGAGACGCTTACAGCGCATGAGGGTGATTCTATCACGGTTCGTTTAGCGACTGGAAGTCGCGTAACGGTGCCTAAAGTTCCATTGAACTTAGGTATAAAGTTTTTAGACTTTGACAGTATTGAGCGCTGTCTTGTCCTAGATTTAGACTCGAGATATGATCTCATCCTAGGTATGGCTTGGCTTGAGCGCCATGATCCAAGGATCGATTAAAGGTCTAAGACTTAAGGCGCCTCGCGCAATGCTCCTAGCGAAGTTTTGGAGAGTCTTGAACCCAGCTTTGCTAGGCAACAGAAGCACTATTGGCGCGAGCCTTTGACAGAAGATGTCAATGTGCTGGAAATTGGAATGTTTGAGTTATTTAACTCCAACGTTAAAAACGTAAGTTTCGAGCCTAGCTCGTCTAAAACTAGTGAAACGGCACGTACTCCGTTGAGTGGTACTCGTTGTGATAACGAGTCACTGCATGCTGAAAGCATGGTTGGCCTAGGGCCGAGTGATCAAGGATGTGATTCCTTTGATGTGTGTGTGGTGGCACGTGAAACTACACCGAGTGCGGTCGGCCGTGAGAGCACCGCACTTAATGTCGGTAATTACACTGCTGGCCATATGCCATTCAGTGTGGGCGGCCGCGAAGGCACGACACCTAATGACAGTAATGAAATTGTCGGCGATACGCCATTTAGTGTGGGCGGCCTTGAAGGCACCACACCTAATGTCAGTAATGACATTGTTGGCGATACGCCATTTAGTGTGGGCGGCCGTGAAGGAACCACACCTAATATCGGTAATGGCGTTGTTGGCGATACGCCGTGTATTGTGGGCGGCCGTGAGGGCACCACACCTAATATCGGTAATGACATTGTTGGCGAGAAGTCCTTCAATTTAGGGCTAGACCCGCATAATACACGTAGAGTGGCCTGTTTCAATCCACTGGGTGAAGTGTTCGAGTTATGTAACACTTCACCGGATGTCGGTCAAGACAAAAGCTCTCGTATAGAGCGTACTATGGTCGGTAGTATCCATGGGGACAATATTGTCCCGACCCCTAAGGGGTGTAGGGTCTCGAAGAGACGATCGAGACGCCGGGTAGCAGCTTTTAAGCGCCAGGCGTCCTCACAGTCACATAGTGATAATAGTAATACACTATATACACTTGTTAATAAAGTGACTGGTCAGGTTGATGGCAGTGTTTGCCTCGAAACCCTTCCATCTGTGGACGCTCTTTGTGAGCTAGACAAAATGTCTAATTGCGAGTTTAGCCAGGCCTCAAAGGCAGGAGAGTTATCCGAATTAGCGGTCATTAGACCTGATGCTGAGTTGAATCTTTCCTCGTTAACGGATGAGTCTGTCCTAGAGGATACAAAGGCGGTACTTAGTTCACGAAGTTGATCTTCGATCCTTATAGATCCTTTGGATCCGTTCTATCCTTTAGTTAAGGAATTTCAAGATGTGGTGTGTCACAACCCACCTTCTGCCTTACCTCCCGATAGAGGTGTACGTCATGAAATTGACTTAGTTGCAGAAACTGAATACTGCGTATCACGGCAGTGGCCTTTGCATAAAGAACAGTGTGACGTCATTGACGAATTCTTTTGTGATAAGCACGCGGCTGGAATGGTTCGTGAGAGCAAGTCTTCCCATTCAACACCGACATTTTGTGTCAAAAAGCCAAATGGCAAGTGGCGTATTGTGCATGCTTACAATAAGCTTAATGCAGCCACTGTACCGGCGTAGACGCCTTTTCCTAGAAAGGATGTTCTTCAGAACAATGTGGCAGGATGTACATTGTACAGTGCACTCGACTTAGTCGATGGTTATTACCAACTGCGTATGCGAGCAAGTGATATTCCACTAACAGCGATAAGTACTCCGAGCGGTATGCTCTGGGAGTGGCTCGTTATGCCACAAGGGCTGTCTAACGCCCTGGCTACGTTTAATCGGCTGTTAACACAACTATTCAGACCTTATCGAGGCTATGCACAAACGTACTTTGATGACATTTTTGTCCTTAGTAGTGCAATGAATGGGCGATCAGATGTGGATAACCACATCGATCTTTTACGAGCTGTGCTCGAGTGTATGCGAACGAATAAGTTGTATGCTAACGCATCTAAGTGCATCTTTTGTGCAGAAGAGATTCTCTTTCTACGGTGCTTCATTGGGAAGCGAGGCCTTCGAGCGGATCCCGCTAAGGTGAAAGCCATAGTCGACTGGCCGGTTCCCAAGAACCAAAAGGACTTGCGTAAGTGGCTTGGCCTTGCCAATTACTTACAGAAGTACAGTGCGAATTACGCAGATATAACTCGGCCATTGTCCAATCTCCTTAAAAAGGATGTGGATTGGTGTTGGGGTAACACCGACCATAATGCTTTTGAAGCAGTTAAGGAGAGTCTCCTTTATGCGTCAATATTGGCTTTGCCCGATCCTGATCGGCCTTTCAGTGTCGTCTGTGACGCATCTGACTTCGCCAGAGGCAGTGCTCTGTTACAAACAGATGTCGATGGACGTGAGCGCGTCATTGCGTTTGAGTATCGACAGCTTAAATCTGCTGAAAAGAAAAATCCTGTTCATGACTAAGAACTACTCGCTTTGAAGTATGCTCTAGTCAAATTCAGAGTACATCTGCTTGGCTCAAAGCCTTTGTAATCGATACAGATCATGCGTCATTGTGCACTGCAACACAGTCTCCACATCTATCGCAGAGATCGGCTCGTTGGCTTTCCTTATTTGCCGAATATAACTTCGAGGTGAAGTGCAAGCCAGGTAAGCAAAATGCTTTGGCTGATGCGCTACCGCGTCGAACTGACTATGAGCTTGCTCATGTTACGACTCTTTTGTCGTCAGTCCCTGACTTAATATGTGCGGCATATGCCAAGGATGATCAGTGTGTATCTTTGCTACGTGCTCTTGGGAGCGATGAGTTTAGAGACTCGGACATCGAGTTGTCGGCACGTTTTCGTGCGAGGCTACATCGATATTCCATCGATAATGGCCTGTTGTGCTATCGCACGGATATTGAGGATAACCCTCGTATCGCTGTACCTCATGATGAGGAATTAAAGTATCGAATCCTCTATGAGGCACATGATACTGCTTTAAGTGGTCATCTCGGTCGTGAGAAGACTTATAGCTCGGTGAGCCAAAGTTATTGGTGGCCCAAACTTTATAAGTGGGTGCACACCTATGTGCGTACGTGCAAAACGTGTCAACGGGTAAAACCCTCGGCACATTCGGCGGCGCCGCTGGCTAGTTTGCCAGTACCTACTGGTCGTTGGAGTCCATGAGCACGGATTTTGTGTTTGGCATCCCGAAATATTTGGAAGGCAACACTGGTATTGTGGTATATGTTGACCGATTAAGCAAGATGGCTCACTTAGCGGATGTGCCGGATAGCATCGATGCCGAAGGTACAGCAAAGCTGTTTATCGACCGTGTGTTTCACCAACATGGCTTGCCGGTGGCAATTATCTCTGATAGAGACCTCCGCTTCACTGGGAAGTTTTGAAAGTCTATCTTTAAGGTGCTTGGCACTCGGTTGGACATGTCCACAGTGGATCATCCGCAGATCGACGGTCAAACTGAGCGTTTCAACCGCGTCATCAACAACATTTTGCGCAGTATTTTCGCTGGTACGCCTAGGCGTTGGAGCTCAATGCTCCCTTTTGTTGAGTTTGCGTTGAATAACGCTGTTTATGCCTTAATAGGCTTTACTCCGTTCTACATAAACGGTCTCAGCCACCCTCGCGTTCCGTTAACGCTACCACTCTATGGTTCAGGACTTGGTGGGGGTGAGGTTGCCTATCGGCTTGCTGATATCATCCCTGCTACTGTTCATAAACAGGTAGGCGAGTTTCTCGCAACGCGATTAAACGTCTTAAGACATGTGCGTGACGCAATGGCTGATAGCCAAGATACCCAAAAACAACAAGCTGATGCCAAAGGCAGAAATTGTATTGAACGTTATGAAGTCAGAGACCAAGTACTACTCAATGCTAAAAATCTACCTATAAATGTAGTGTCTGCTGTCTCCAAGACAAAGTTGCGTCCACGCTTTATTGGACCGTTCACGGTCACGTCCAAGAAGGGACTTGCGTATACGCTAAACCTTCCGCGCAAATTGCGCACACATCCAGTGTTCTACGCAGGCTTACTTAAGCCGTACCGGGATCCTTCCCATGTGAACTTGGAGGCGCTTGCGCCGACGACAAGGGCACTGCCCCGGATTGCTGTAGACGAATCAGCAAGTCCAACTGAGCCTCGCTCCGAGTTTGAGCTTGCTCCATCGCCTGAAGGCGGCTTTGCATCGCATCCGGCATGCACTGGGACTTACCCAAGGCCTCTTGAAGACCCTTCACTTCGAGAACCAATTTTTCGTGGGCCTCCACCGGTACACCGGCCGCCACCGACTTTGCTCGACGAGCATGGGTGTCGTCAATTTCATGTCGAGATACTACTAAAACGACGTCGTCGTCATGGCCAATATCAGTATCTGGTAAAGTGGCGTGGATACCCTGAGTCTGAAAACTCATGGGAATTTGAGGAACCCCTTCGTCAAGACTGCCCATATGCATTGGATGCTTTTGAGCATCGTAGCCATGGTCATCTCGAGACCGAGGCCGTTACCCACCACTAGTGGTGCGGGTTGGCGGGTTGTTGGCCCAAGACTGACCAGCACTCGCGGCTACCTTATTAGCCGAAGCATAGCGCGTGCGCTTGCGCAATTGGCCTCTGGCCTTAAGCTCGGCATAACCATACCGAAGCTTGCGTTCGAGACGCACATCCGCCGCATGGACACTAGCCTTTAGAGCAACAATGTTGCTGAGGCGACGCACATAGTGCACCCAATGAACGAAGGCATCGTCTTCTTCGCTCACTGTTTCGCCTGCGAGCAAGAGAATGGGTATACCCTTGATCGGTGGAACCGGTGCACCACGTGCTTGCATGTCAAGGCGTGCCTTGTATTGACCTTGGGTCGTTAGGTGCGGCTCCAGGTACCTCTCACGAAGTGCCTGGCAGTTCACCACCTCCTCATGAGTCTTAGGGCCATGGCCAGTGACCCACGTTGCCAATGTTTAGCCGGCCTCTTGACGTAGACGTTCCTCCACACTGGGTGGGGTGAACACATAGTCACGCTGGCGTTCAAGGGTTGCAGCCATTTGTATATAACGCTGAGCGTTTTCTTCTCTTTGGACAAGCAATTGTTGTTGCTCATCGAGCGGGTTCGTGATGATAGTCTCATCAGACCCAGTTGCTGCATGCTGCGCTGGTGGCGCGCTCGCATCTCCACGTTCATAGAACGGACTTGAGGTATTCGAAGGTTGTGCCTCAGACATCGGTGAGTCGGACATTGTCCCTGTATCACCCTGGACACTGGTATCGCTACCATAGTCCACTGCCTCCCTCTATATCGAGGTAGTCACACAGAGTCTTTAACTCGTTTGGTGATAAGGACATTGTGATAGAGCGTACGTTGCCGTGAGGTTTATCGTACGCACACTGTTCTCGCTCAGGAACACAAGTTTGATTGACGTTTTGGTAAACGTCAGTCTGGTGGGGGAGGGTGTAACGGGGTTCCACGAAATTATATGGTACTTTGTACCAGAGGTGTTACACACCTGAGTTTACCCCTTTGTGAAGGTGATAGAGAATATCCTTTTGGTTTGTGGGGGCTGACGAGTGTCAGCCATTAGGTACGAAAGATCTTTGAGTAGGATTAAGATATTCTATAAGCTTTGACAAAAACAAAATCAGTTCCCATTTTGATCTAAAGGACACGTGGCGTGCGAGTCGTCTCGATCGTTGATCACTGATCACTAAGAGTAAGCAACACCTCCTTGAGGTAGCTACTCTTGAGCACTGAGTGCTGTCGATTCACTGGATCGTTTGGTCCCCTGGAACAGGGATCTGAAGCTGTACAGCTTGTTGACTCGTAAAATTGCATGTTCTTCAGAACTAAGCTGCTCGTAGAGCATTAAGTCTTCCTCTGACTTAAGGTGCTGTGTAGCTCCGCTACACCCTTCATGAGAAGCTTTTTTTTTTTTCTAGTTATTTCACCCCTTTAAGCTACAGGATAGGATGTGGAGTGTTGAATTGTAGGATCTGAAATGCCTTGTGATACGCTTCGAGATTGAAAAAGTTGCTGCAACAGCGGAGTATCGTGGACTTACACCGGTTCTGATCGTCATGTGTTATCCATGTGGTAACGATATGATATTCCTCAATGTAACCTGAAAAAAAAGCACATGACAAATCAACAAGCGAAACCGGTACAAAGCTGCATAAAACTCCTCATTACGTGAAAGCTGAATGCAGGATCGATCTATGTGCTGGCTTCGTCGTACATCATTGAACTCGAATGGATGGTTCATCTCGGTCAATAAAGTCTATATATGAAACATTTTTAGACTTTGTAACTATACGGACCAGATGTATTTTTTCATGCTCTTTCTCGTCAGCTATCGTCATCAAGCTGAATTTTGGTACTTTTTTGTACAGACTCGTTTTTATGCCTAGGGTACAATCAACATGTTTAAGCTGTAGATGGTAGCTGGATAATGTTAGCGAGTGATGATGCGGCGACTTGTGCAGGGTGTATATTGCATATTTGCATTAGTTGTATTGTTCTTTGGCAGGTTTATATTGTGGGATGTTAGCGAAACGACAAGTCATCGGATTGGCTCAGTCGTTTGGGAAGGGGGATTCCACGCGGGTGAGTGCGGGTTCGATCCCCGCCGTGTACAAGTTAATTGTGACTGACACTCACGACCTGGTGTTTGGGGTTCACCAGAACTGTGACCCGCCCGCAGTTACGTCCCCCCACCCACGCAATCGTTTTCATTCAGCATATGACACAGCAGAGTTTTTACGAAAGGTATTTACGAGACGTAATTACCCAGTGATAGGTAAAACAGAAAGCGGTGGAGACAGGGCACGAAATAGGTGGCTGAGAGTCACCAGCTACTACTAGCCATTCGTTTTCGAAGCTAGGAACAATTTGAATACAACTCACTTTTCGGTTTTCATCCCCGGCCGTAAGCCATCTTCTTCTCAGCATCAGCTCCACAACCTAGTTAATTCTAACAGATAAGACGTGTGAGCAGAAGTGAATATCAATGTGGGCAACGCAGTCATGATATCGTGTTTCGCTCTTCTGGAAGGAAGTTGAGACGAAGGGATGTCCACAGGTGTGCTGCCGTTCATTCGTAGTGTATGCTATCATCACAGCGCACGCCAGTACATATTTAATTGCCGGCGCACAGGTTCCAATGGCACGGCAAAATATGATCCGTGAACCACCGAAAGTACCACGTATCGACAATGGCCTCAACAACGACTGCACGAATGAAACCGGCAATGCTTGGCATTCGAAGCATTAAGAGCAAAAGTGGAACCCAAAACGTATTGACAAGGGTAATAATGTACACAGCTCCGATAGTGAAACTGTGGTTGACATAGCAACGTACCCGTCCACTGAACAACGATCACATGGAACCGACTTCAAGGTCATGCCACCATGCAGTTTTGGAGTAAGTGTTGATTGAGTGGATGTGTATCGCGGTTTCAATGAGAGCATCCGTGCTGGAAGTTGTACTCACAAAGAGCAGATTGGGTACGAGTCTCCACGGACAAGACGGACAGCGCGAGATGTATGACTTGTTTTTTAATGTGACCACCTACTCTGCAATTTGTTGATCGACTGCGTTTTGATTCTTATCACGACGCTGTCGTCGTACACAAGAAAAGCGACTGCAAAAAGTCGCATCAAGAGGCACAGTAAAAACGCACATTGCGACCAGAGTAGATGACACATGTCGACAGTACACGAGAAGACGCAGAAACACTGCCTTCAATACTAATGAGGGATTGGTATTCAAAGAATGAACGAAGTCGTTGTTCCTCGACTACTGCTGGTATGGTCACAATGGCAAATGGGATATCGACGGCGGCTGAAAAGCTACGGAAACTCGCGACTTCCACACAACATCTGATCCTCGACCTGAGCACCATTGTGTATTCTTCTGAAGATGCGGGGTCCGCAAGAAGATCGTAATTCACGTGGACGACGGTACCCGCCGGAAGGGGTGGTGTCATGCGCGTATAGTATCGGAAGACTGGAAGGACCATCGGTTTCGTCTCGACTTTCTAGTCGTCAGTGGAAAAGCATTCGCGAAAAAGAAGGTGAAAAAGACGGGAGTCGGTTCTAGAAAACAGCCACCTCAGGTGTATGACATTTTGAATCGGACGGTTCAAACGCTACTTTCGACAACATTCGATCGAAGCACTTCAACATTATCATGATCGGTCTGCCTCTGTCTGCACGCCAAGAGAGCGGCGACCCACGTCCCCTTTCATTTCCCAATTTGCATCCAACCACACGATCGATCAGTAGCAACAACCCACACACGACAAAGTCACGCAACCATGTTCAGCTCGTGGGATCTCGTGCGACCGCGCTTCTGGTACCCCATGTCGTCACTCGAACAGTCTATGATGGAGCTCGAGCACATGAGTGACAGCATGATGCGACCGCGCTTCCCTTTTGGGGCGCGTCGAGAGATGCTCGCCACTCCAACTCCAAAGCACGTCATGTACTCCGGGAAGTCGACGGACGATGACGACTTCTTCGTCGACCTGCCTGTGGTGGCACACAAGTACAAGCCGACGGCGTTCCAACCGGTGCAAAACGCACCGCAACAGGATCAACAAGTATCCAGCACCAAGACATTGAAGGATGACGACCCGATGAGCCACTCGTTCTCGTCTTACTCGTTCAGCAACTCGTCTGTTGTGGACGAGAAGGGTCGACGAGTGGCAACGACGCGTCGCCGCTACGAAGACTCCACGGGTCATCTCAAAGCGGTGCATGAACGAGAGATCGACGGAAAGAAGATGCGCACAACTTGGCGACGACAAGGCAAGGGAGAGGATGAACAGCACGAGTCCATCTGCTCGAGCGGTAGCCCGGAGGAGTTTGAAGCACTGTGGCAGCAGACGCCATTCGGTGCGGCACAGAAGACGTCAGTGAAAGGCCAGCTGCAGGCCGAGTCAGAAGTTGATCGAGACGTGACACCGTCGATGACACCTGCGCCGCTGGCGGACACTACTGTCCATGAAACGTCAACGGAGATGACATCGACGGAGAAATGCGCGGAGGTAGAGACAGAAAAGAAGCACAACTTGTAGTGTCCACCCCCACGATTGAACAATTGAGTGGAGGTTTGTTCTTGTGAAGAAGAAGCATTCGTTGGTGTTACCATTTGCATTGATGCGCTCAAGTGCCGTCTATCTGTAGGCAAGCTGCGAGTCGATACACTTGTCTGTATCGGACGGTATCCTCAACCGATAAGGACACATAGGAGTATCGAGATACGCGTTTACGAGTGTAAATGAATGAGACGTCCGACTTTTGGGTACCCGTTCATGAGAAGCTTTTTTTCGCTTCTGGTGTCTCATCCAGTTAAGCTGCAGGATAGGAGGTTGTGGAGTGTTGAATTGTAGGACCTGAAATGCCTTTGATGCGCTTCGAGATTGAAGAAGTTGCTGCAACAGCGGAATATCGTGGACGTACACCGGTTCTGATCGTCATGTGTGGTATCCATGTGGTAACGATATCATGTTCCCCATTGTAACCTGAAAAGAAAGCACATGACAAATCAACAAGCGAAATCGGTACAAAGCTGCATCAAAACTCCTCATTACGTGAAAGCTGAATGCAGGATCGATCTATGTGCTGGCTTCGTCGTACATCATTGAACTCGAATGGATGGTTCATCTCGGTCAATAGGGTACAATCAACATGTACAAGCTGTAGATGGTGGCTGGATAAGATGTGCGAGCAGAAGTAAGTATCAATGTGGGCAACGCAGTCATGAGATCGTTTTTCACTCGACTGGAAGGAAGTTGAGACGAAAGGATGTCCACAGGTGTGCTGCCGTTCATTCGTAGTGTATGCTATCATCACAGCGCACGCCAGTACATATTTAATTGCCGGCGCACAGGTTCCAATGGCACGGCAACATATGATCCATGAACCACCGCAAGTACCACGTATCGACAATGGCCTCAACAACGACTGCACGAATGAAACCGGCAATGCTTGGCATTCGAAGCATTAAGAGCAAAAGTGGAACCCAAAACGTATTGACAAGGGTAATAATGTACACAGCTCCGATAGTGAAACTGTGGTTGACATAGCAACGTACCCGTCCACTGAACAACGATCACATGGAACCGACTTCAAGGTCATGCCACCATGCAGTTTTGGAGTAAGTGTTGATTGAGTGGATGTGTATCACGGTTTCAATGAGAGCATCCGTGCTGGAAGTTGTGCTCACAAAGAGCAGCTTGG